GTCACACGCCACAACTACAGGAACGCGCGTAGACGACACACGATAAGACAGCATGAGACTGAACGTGGCGTGGGAATTGACCAATAATAAGTGCGAACCTCCTCCCCTCCCACCCCCATTTACGCGTAGCTAACTCTTGCAGTTTCTCGCTTTCTCTGACGATGGCTTCTCGTGTGGAGTCGAAAGCTCAGACGAATAAAATTACCGTTCCAGAGATCGCGTCCTCTGCTTATTTACAACAAGAACCTGGGGCACGCATATCTGCTTATATTCGTGAGAAAGACTTCTATTATTCAGGTAAATGTTAGTCTCAGATGAATGATACTCCCACTAATGTTTCCAGCAAGTATGGTTATTAGGAAAAAAAAAGAATTAATTTCTTACCAGCCGGCAAGGTTTCTACCTCCAGGGTTGCTGGCTCACTAAGGCCACCGCCATATCCAAGAGGTTCAAGATGCCTATTTCTTCTGCGTACTTCGATTCCGTACAGTCTTGCAGGCTTCAAATTCTCGACCGTACAGGTTTTGTTAAGAATTGGGAAGATGCGATAAATTTCATGGCCGTTCTTTTCAAAGACAGTTGCCACGTAGTACATGAATTCGCCCGTTGCACGTCCGGCTGGGTCCTCCCAGTTGATTGTAAGGCTTGTTGTTCCTGCAATAGCAGTGAGATTCGTTGGAATTCCTCCGGCTATATTTATGAAAGAAAATAGAGGTTTTTATTAGATAATATAAATGCTTTAAATTATCAAATATTTGTCCAAAAAGAGAGAGTTAGGCTTTAATTAAACCCTAAGATGTCTGAAATGTGTCAGGCTGTATAACAATGAAAAGAATGGGCATGGAAACAGCTTTAGGGTTGTTACCGAACAGCCCAAATTTCGAGTACGTTTTCCAACATGATTTGACGAGAACTGCCAGATTTTACTCCCTTATATACATTATTGGAGTTACTTTCAACTTAGGCAACTAGACTTTTGCTTGATTTTAACGACTGGAAGGTCACCGGAATAAGATACTTCGTAAGTTCACGTGTGGATATTCCAGTCAGTGACTAATATATTTAAATGGAATTGTCAGGTGCAATTGAAAACTTCCCATTTATTTTGAAATTTCGATTAGGATGAGGTTCAGATCTTTCTTGAAATGTTAATAAACATTTAACACTTTTCACTGGCTTCACTAGATTGACAATAAATAAGGATTATAGTCTAAGTGCTTATAAAAACCTTCGAAATAAGATATTTCTTAAAAGCATTCACCCAAATAATGAGTTTGTAAATATTTTCTCTTTCGCAGCTGTCTGTTTGGGCCATGGCTTTAGAATCAACCAAACATGTCAACTCACTGCCGAGAAACATTAACATCCACAGCAAAAGTTGCGAAAGTATATGCCTAAGATTAATTTTTAAACCTTTGTTAAACAAGTTAACTCTTACAAAAGCGTTTTACGTAGATATTTCGGCGTCAAGTGTCTGCGTACTTTATTTTTTTGAAGATTAAGTCAAGATCAAAATGGGACATTACGTCCAGGTTTAGAGTTCCCTAATAATTAGGGACACGTTTACTGCTGAAAGTGGAAGCACTCACGTCTAAGATAAAAAGGAAAGCAGAGTGACAGAGTATCAAGGACAACTTTGTGAAAGCTTATAATTTTCTGTCCGTTCCGTTTAATGTTTTTCTACTCGCTAATTTTGTTGATTGACATCTTTAGCATATGAATTGACAGTGAAAATTGTCGGCATGTCTTGGGTGTTTGTATATATGCTTGTTTGCGCTCGTAACATTCGGTGAGGTTAAGCAAATCAAGGCCTTATAACTTAACTACTTCATTTTATGACTCACAGCTACAAGATTTGCAAAATAGAGTGTTTTTAACTTAATTCGCTATTCTTTTACCAAAAATCATGCGTTATCGCATCACTGTACTTAGCTTAATTTCATGAACGCAAAACAAAATTGTCAGTACTCAGCTCATATATACATAAAAAGTTTTTCCTTTTTATTTGTGTTCTTTGAAAGTAGAACACGCAAAAATAACAAGCTTTTCCGCAGCGTTCAGTAGCGTGGAAATTTCTTGGTTATTAACAAAGATTGGATATGGCCCAATTCTGTCCCTTCTGAGCCAAACTCCTTTCTAGTAAACAGCATTTTGCATCCCAAGTCAGCTCAATGAAGAAAATAAACAAGCTCAATTTTTTTATCAAAATAACCCATTCAAATGTTAATCTTTACATTTCATCAGATATACAATCCACTGGTTAAGCGTAAAGCATACTTCCAGGTTTTGTAAGCGCTGATTTTGGTAAGACTAACCATGACAACGCAACAACAAAGTTATGTTTACTAATCAGCAACCTCATTGCTTACGACTTAAATAGTCTTCAAGCAAAAGAACATTTCTAGTAGACTTACGTCCAGGCCACGTCTTAACTTTGCCACTGATCGCCGGGCCAACTGAGCCACCTACGACTGCCGCGACCTTCACAATATATTCCATGAAAACTTCGAGATTATCCAGGGAGATATTTGTGCTTGGTGTTTCATGGGTAGTCGTGACTGCAGTTTCAACTGATGTGACCTTTACTTGATATTTCTCGACGAGTGAGCCATTCTGCGTATCAGTCCAGGACGCTGTTAAACTGGTGTTGCTTGTTTGCGTCAAAACGAGATCAGTTAATTCCGCCGATGCTGAAATTAAAATACATTTGGCTGGTTCGTTCGCAGTATCAATGCTATTTAAGAGCATGAGATAATATAATGTAATAGAAAGCAAGCAGGTAGTCGTTCACGCTACCAAGGGTGAAAGCCGATATGCTGCGTGAGATGCTTCTTCAAAATAATTGCTGAAAAAATTAATGTTGGCAGGTATATAGTACGTAGTTGGGTTCAGCGACAGATAACTCGTGAAACATGTATTACGGATGCGCTAGTAATAGACGTAATACGGGGAAAATCTTAGGAGTCAGACCCCTAAGCCAAACCTTAGACCCAGCTTATACGTTAAATGACTTTATAATGTACACCTATTGATGTAGAAGTTAATGTCTTAGCTGTTTTCACGAGTAAAAGAGAAAACTGCTCAAACAACGGAACATTCTCTTCTTCTCCTGTCCTACTAGGCAGCCTTAGTTATAATTTGGCGAAGTCTGCGTTTAAAACTTTAGACGAAATTTGAAAACCTCAGTTTTATCAGTCTCTCAATTCCTCGAAGAGCTCGAGTTAGGGCCGAGTTTAATCGGACGAAATTGTAGTCTCTTTCAATAAGACCTCTTTGATGCTAAAACCCAGTCCTTGGCACAGTGCATATACAAAGATCGATCAGCCTCATATTTTAATCTAGCACCTTCGGTTTTGGACGATTAAATCGGGCGAAACCTGTACTCTTTCAATGTAACTTCTTTATGCAAACTTGTTCCGTCGGAGTTGGCAAATGATGTCAAAATCCACTAATGGAATTCGACCAAAAAAGGTATTTTATATTTGCTGGAGAAACTTATAAAAATATTTAAAAACTATAGTGGGCTCCCCAATCTCTCCAAACAGAAACACGCGGTGTCAGAAGTTGCAGGCGGCAGTAGACTGGAAAAGACAAAAACCATCCCAAAGAACAATTTCAGTAGAGTATCGCACGCCATGCCTTAGCCATCCTTGTACGTACACAGGTCAACTAGAACGCATGCTCGAGTCACGTATAAATAAACATAAGCTTAATATGCCCAACCCCACGAAACGGGTCATGGGTTCAACTTTGCAGCTGTCAGCTTAATAGCACAACGCATAAAACAAGACGAAAGGAACACTCATTGAATCCTCGTCCAGATATGGGATCTCAAGCAACTGAAGCATAGATTTGGCGCCAACTTTAGGGAGGCCTGCGCACTCACCTCGGTACTTGCGTCATTTAGAATTGATTGACCCTCTAGGATTGTAGCCATTTCGCTGCTGCCGGTGGACGACGAACTTCATAATTTCGAAAACTTAGGAGAATACAAAAACTGTTCAGGTGTTCGGCTGGTCTTCTCCCTCACATATATTTACATGAGACAATTCAGAAGCATATTTTGTGAGCATATTAAAGCTTTCGAACAAGTACATTAATACAGGAACGGGGTACACTTTTAGCGTGCGGTTAATAATATTCCCCTAATCCGCATAACCATCCTTTCTCTTAGACCCAACCCGACCTACCTGTTCCAACGTCTCAGCTCTATGAAAAGGCGAACATTATTGACTGCATGTCATCGTTGTACCCAGTTTCGCTGGCCTAATTAACATTTATCGAAATCTCACGTACACTTGCCAATTGCCCTTCATACTTTTAGCTTAAACCCCACCTTATCTAAATACTTAGGTCTCACTGCTGCTTAAGTGAAGCACTAACGCATACTAAGAAAATGAACTATCTTACGATTCTGTCTTAGCTTATATTAGGTATATACGTTCTTCCGCCTTCTACATATACGTATATATGCTCTATTATTGCGAGTTGTTTTCTACATCTATGAAACGGAAATGGGTTAAACTCTGCAGCCATGAAACAGGTCGAGCGCAGAATTTTGTGAAGACTGGTCCACCGAGGCGAAACGCTTTAATCATAATATCCATCCGGCGGCGGTGTGAATAGCCTGATGCGATCACCTCGGAACTTGTGTCACTGACCATTAAGTAGCTAAGGCCCTCCTATAATTGTCGCCATTTCGCTGCTGCAGCTGCTATCTCTGACGATTAACTTCTTCACGTTTTCGAAACTGAGATCAATGCACAAATTATCTTCATTTTTAGTCATAATCCTAAGCTTAGCTCCACCTGAACTGAGAAAAATTCTCCGAAAATACAAATACATGCTTAGTTAATCCTATCCTTATCTAAAGCCTTGTGTCTCACCGCTGGTAAAGTGAAGCACCGACACATAATGTACACAGTCTGGTAAAAAAAGACAAATTATTTCAGGGGAATTGCGCTCCAACTATAAACAGTCTTCCAATAGGTATTGAAAGGAGTATAAAGTTGTTTGAAGTGTACGTAGGGTTATAGTAGAAATATTTTTATGTAATTGTGCTCAAAATAAAAATTATCGTTGTCTTGGTTCTCATGTAGAACTGAGTGCTTCTCGCTTCATCTATATTGTGGATGACAAAAATCCCATTTGAATAAATGAGCCTGGCAGTGGCATCTATAAACGAGCAAAATCCAAGCCAGCTTCCAAGCTGGCCGCTTAAACGAAACATAATACGTGCAAATCTGCATGTATCCATACGCGAATATAAATATACACCCATGTTAATATATTCCCCAGTGGCAATTCTCTAGAGATCACTTTCGAAGTTTTCTACGAAGTCC